TTCAACCAGCTAAACTAATAGCCTTGTTAGCATTGCAGTAAGTATATCCTATCACTTCTCTTTCATCATCTGTATGATGATAAATAATGAATGGACTTGGTGGTGGGGAAAACCTCCGTCCAGAAAAGGAGAAATAGATGAACACATTTTCTGTTGTTTAAGTTCTCCTTAAATAAACTTTATGCAAGATCATTAAAAATCTACAACAGAATAGAGAAAACTACAGACCCATTTCAGGGTATACCTCGACCTGATTTCCCGATAGGATTATAGGAAGTGTAATTTAGAATAGGAAACAAGCAAGTGATTTTTGAAAGGGAATGAGGCAGCCTGGGGGAGCTTGAAATATCACCAATAAATTTACAGTATTTAAAGTTTTAAGGTGCTGATTACTAAATGGATTCCCCGCAACTTAGTATTTTTTGGGGTTTATGAGTAGATAGTTAATATCAAATGTGAAATAGAGTGACACAAATATAGTGGAAATTTGTGTATTCTTCTATAGATAAGGAATAAGTAACAAGAAACTTCAGCTTCCTTAAACAGGACTTGTGAACACTGTTATACGGCATGTCGCATCTTTTGGAAAGAGCTAATAAAGTGTGTTATGGCAATTTTTATATGTGTTAACTAGATGATGATCTTTAATATGTTATGTCTATTATTATTATTAGGACTACATTACACACAACTTGTAAATGTATCCAATATGCGATTATTACATTGCCTACATGTTTCAGTGATTTTGTTTTCATTTATATCAAAGGTTAATTCATATTGCATTAATTTATAGTTAGGAGTACAAAAGTGAGCAATTACTCAAAACAACTTACAGCATTCAAACGTGTATTGAATGCTCTTATTTAACCTTAGCCCTTCTATTTTCTCTTAGTCTTGTTTGTAAGTCCAATCACACAATAAGTTTTGAGCTTGTGCAGAAAGTATGACAAGTGTCCCTTGCACCTGCATCTACCTGAATACCTGATGTAAATGATTGAAGTAATGATTGTTTACCACTACATATGCATTTTAGATGTGTAATTATTTGTCTTTTAAATCACTTGAAATTTAACATTCAGACATTTTTCTAATTGCTTTTAATTGGTTTAATAAATATTAAATATATATAAATGTTTATTTCAGTATTTTATACTAAGACTGCTGTTATAACAAAAATAAATGAAAGTTCCATTACAATTACAAGTTTCACATAGCAATTCCATTCAAAATTTGTATGTGTAAAAGATTTATTATTATTATAATACAAGTTATTTTCCAACACTTTCAAAACCCATGCCCTACATTGTTACTCGAAATCAGTGTAAATTTTAACTGTAAGAAAAAGGTATTATAAACTGTTTTACTAGAAACTCCAATAACTTGTTTAGGCAAAATGTCTACTGTTTAAAACCATATGAAGTATTGTTTCTGTTAAGTGTGGACTTTCCAAATGGTTTTACAAGTGATCTTTGATCATAAATTCCAGTATTTTGTTTATAACAAAAGCTAAACTATTACTTCTAGATTCTCCATCAAACATGTTTTTTAAAAATAGTTTTATCAGATTTTTCCAGGGCCAAGCAACTTTAGAAAGATAGCAGTTTAAGCCTCTTTATTTAATTTTACTGTTCAATGTTTTTACAACAGGTCCAAAGATAAATATTAAAAGATAAATGTATTTGCTGCAGTTGCTTTTAGACAAACTTTCCTTGTCATTGCTAAGAAAAAAGTCTAAAATAGCATTTTCTGGTACAGGATTTTTAACATAGGACAATATTTTCCGCAAACGCCTGCACGTTTTCAGCTTCTGAAAAAACTGCTAATTTCTATAAGATTAGTCACCAGTAAGAACAATCCTTTAGTGACTACAGCATATAACAAACATACTTAGACATTTTTATCATATTCAAGAATCAACTGTGAGTGTTCTTTCTAGTGCGTGGGATCATTGAAACCTTGCATTTTTTAAGTGTGTGTCTGACTGTAAACAGTACATTTCATACTTGGTGACATGCCTGATATTTTGACCTATTTCAGTGAGTAGGTTTATGTTTTCCTGAATGAGTCTTTTTGACACACATATTTTAAGTATTAAACATGACTGCATTCATATTGCTTTTGATTAGTAAAAGGTCCATTAATATGGAATTTTACCAGATCTAAAACAAGATTAAAAATGTGTTTCTTGCTTTGGTTATCCCTGCTTCCATGGTTACTAACTGTGCTCCCATCCATGCTGATTGTGGCCAGATGCCTGACTGTTTCTGCATTTATTTGTGCTGTTTATGGCTCATTATTGTTAGTCTGCGAATAAAGAGAGTAAACAAAGGATAAGAGCATTTGTAGCATTATTTCTATTAGTGAAGAGTCATAAAATACCCACAAAGTTAATGTAATAATGTAACCCTTGAGAATCTCTGAACTATTCTTAACAATGTCAATATCCTTGTGACGTACCCATCCATGAAGTTCTGGGTTGAGCACAGCTAAATTACATATTTCTAATAGTCACATCTATCCAGGTTGCTTAAATCTCGGGAAACTTAAGAGGTGTTGTAAAATTGTAACAGGTAACTGTGGAAACAGTACAAACAAAATTCTTTTCCCTCAACTAAGCATAATTGTTTATCCTTAGCAATTCTTTCAAGATGAAGAACAATGTGTCAATGATATCCATCAAAATTTTCACTGTGTCCCCTTAATTTTGAAAGTTGTAATGAAAAATGTCATATCCATTAAACCCTAATACTGTGAGGTTAATAAGGATCATACTTTTTATTTATCTTGATTGTGGTTTGTATATAACATTAATTTGTGTCGGAAGTACTTGTTTACTGATATTTTGTCCTACTACATGTTATGGTGTATAGTATTAAGTTACTGTTGAATTTAATATTTTCAACCACATTTTAAAAAACCAATTTCTTTTGGACATTTTCAACAACCTTGGATAGCCTTTGCCTATTTGTACTGATAAGTTAATGATAGAGTAATACAGTGGTGCAATACTTGTGCTAACATCATGTTGTTCAGAAGGACATTTATGGGATTGTTTAAACATTTACAAAAACTCATTTCATATTTATAAATGTCAGCTCATGTGTTACTAAGGCAAATTATTATAAACAAATATATAGGTAGTAAATGAATTTGAGAATTAAATTCATTGTAAAAGCAAGCAAATAAAATATTCTGTTGCAACTTGTGTATGGTGCAAAGAGAGTCTTTATTTTGATTCCTGATGTAGACTAGAATGAAGCTGGACATGCAAGTAGATGAAGATGCTAAATATGAAGTGAAGGATAAAACAATGATACTGCTTATGTAGGTAACTAAATGGAGCCACTAGATGTGGGTGTGTTGATTAAAAGAAAAACAATTGGGTAGATATGCAGGTGTGTGTTTTTATTGTTATGTACACTCTACCTGTATATGACCTGCATTCATTAGGAAAGATATGCTTTTTAATTGCAAATTTACTCATAGTCTAATAAAGTCTAATTACACATCCATGCATATGTATTGGTTTTATTTTATTTCGTTTTCAGATGTTTCTGAACTGATACCTGCAGGAAATAGTTCATTTGTATATATGTAAGTGAAATAAAGCTTGTTCTGGATACTCTGAAATTTAGTAAGAGTTTTGACATGTACTGTAAGTGATTTGAGCCACAGTGGTAATGTATCTCAGGACAAGAAAATTAATCATGAAATGGAATACTTGTGTAAAGTTCATACCATTGGTCTAGTATCAGTTACCATATACAACATGACCTTTTAATCACATGATCATTATAAGTTTGTAATGATATTTATTTGTATGATTCAAAGATTTGTACTGAGATGTTTGATTGCAGTGTAGTACATGTATGTATGAAATATTTTTAATTTGGATTGAATTCTGAATTTCTGTATGTTTTCATTGATTTTTATGCATGCAATTTTCTAAAAATAATTTGTTTCCAATTTTTCACAAATTTCTGTTAAATGCCGTTTATTTTACTTGCAAGTCTATAAATATGTTATCTGTGATATCTGTTTAGTTATGGTGCTGTGTTTCAGCTTAAGTAAATTATAAATTGATTCATTATTTTATTTTTAGCTTTTTCTGATTTGCATGTAAAAAAAGCTGTACAGTGACGTACGGGCCAATTGTAGCAGTTTTGGATGTCCTGTGTTAACGGTTGAAGTACTGTAGTTTTAATGGCTGACATGGAAGCTGTAGTGGCAGTTGCCATTAGTGTACTTGCTGTAGTATTTTTGGGATCTTTGGTAGCATTGATTGTAATGTGTCGGCAGAAATATTGCCGCCAGTCAGATCTCCTATCTTCTCATTTTAATGACAATAGGTAAGAAACTAAAACTTAGTTGATTGAAAAAAGGACATTTTTCTTAAAAATAAAGATGGTCTCTGTACAGTAGGTCAGAGAGAGAGTGATGATAAAGTATTTTTCATTTAAATTGCTTATTTAGTATAAGTAATAAAATATTTCAGTTCATATATTCTGAAATAAATGCTGATTATGTGATAAAAACCATTACCTTTTCTCACATAAATAGCTCTTCTCATTCAGTGCTTCCCTCTATATGCAAACAAAATGTACGCATGCCACAACAAGCCTTTTACCTCGCCCTCCGTTGGAATTGACTGATTCCAATGCATCTCTCATGCAAATCATCATATGTCAATCCTCCACCAATAACAGTGTGACATACTCTCATGACGCATGTGACTCCCTCTAACTATCATTTTGAAGATGGAAGCACCGGTTTTGAGGGCAGGAAGTGTGAGCGGAGGTAAGTGCCTATCGGAAATACATTTTCATTATAGGAAAATTATAACTTCCGATATGGTACATTACCTCCGCTCAGATAATTAGCTAGAATCTCACATTGAATAGGTGAAGGGACCAATACAAGGGAAAGAAAGTATCCTGATGCACATGACTTCCTCTATTTACTTCTACTGAACTATCACTTCTTGTTTGGCAGTACTTGTGTTTCGACGTTTTTTCTTCAGATAATCTTCTCTGTTATATTGCCCACATGGCTTCTTTCTTTGGTGTCTGTTCCTCCCTTTTTCTTCCTTGGCTGCCGTCTTCTGTTCATGATCTTTGTCCTTCCACCTTTGGCAATTGGGTTCGACTCTTAATTCAGTTGGCTTCTTCTTCCTTATTGTCTTCCTCCCATACTTTGTTCCAAGTGTCTTCTCATCCAATTTGACACCTTATCTTTTCATCGGCGTTTCATCTTCAGTGTCCCTTGGAGGTACCTCTTTAAATTGAGCATGCGGACTACTCATGATACATTCATCTCTCACTATTTGCATCAGATCACGGTTTTCTTCTTCTTAAGGTTATCGTCTTCTGCCTGTAGCCATTCTTCAGAATTCAGTTATTTTTTTTTATCTTTTTCCTTTTCAGGAGCCTTTTTCCCTTTTATTATTGTTCATTGTTTGGATCCCACTCCGTGGCGAGTGGTGCCTGACCAGGTATTGTTTAACAGATCAAATCTGCATTATAAGGCCATGTCAACTTATGTATTATATTTCCATGGTCATACAGTGCACACTGTAGAGATGGTGGAGTGTGTGTTCCACAACATCACTTGTAGGTTTATCCTTGCAATGGAATTTTGATAAAACATTTGCCCATCCTGAACTGCACACACCCATGAACTACATGGGTATAGCAGAAGGAGATAGCTGCCATTCCTGTCATGCCATGTATTGAATAAATCGATATGGTCTGCTTTTAAAAATAGGGTTTTGTGATCACCCATTGTATTTTCTCAGGTGTTTTCATTCCTCCAGACTCTCTACCACATTATTCCCCCTTTTCTTCTAGTGGAGTTTGGGAATCGTTACCACTTTCCAGTTCCAAGCTGCTGGAGTGGTTGACCATGGATGCACCCTCCTGAATGGGTTAATGAAATACGAACAAAATATAGAAATGATTATAAAACCATTCATATGAGAGTAGGGTGGGGTGTTCTGCTGGTGTAGATGGTATGATATCCTCCAATATGAAACATAAAAACAAATGGGAGTGAGACATCAAAATTGTAGTTCACCCCCTTCAATTGGGATCCTTCATCCTATCCGCGTAGATGTCAGTTCCCAGTGGCTGGGTTTTGTATTTAGAGTAGAAACAATCAACATAAGTCCTCACATATGTATTACAGATGTCTATATTTCTTTCTCAATAATACTCCATCAGTGTTGTGGGTCATAGTGGAGGTAATTGTGGAATGTTATGGTTTTTTCCCTTCTGCTATCCCTCAATGCTTCTTATTCTGAAGATGTTAAAGCGCTTGGGGTGGTTCCAGTCAATTTCACTTTTGAGGAAGAGGGTTTACATTATGTAGACATCTTTTCGATTCTGGATGTCAGGTTCTCAGATCAATCTATTAATTTATCATATTCACATGTGCCCTGTTCTTGAGTCGGGGGGAGGTACTAGGTTCCCTCTGGTCTCAGGAACTTTAGGTGAAGTTGGTATGATCCTCTTTCCTACCCCCACATGGGTGTTGATTGGTCGGGTTTTGAATTATAGTTGACTTACCAATGGTATGATCCTCATCTTACCCCCTGCATGGATGTCTGTGCCCATTGGCATTGGTTTTGGATGTAGTTGACTTGCTGTATACGATCCATCGTGCCCTAGCCACTCTTCACCTAGGGGCACATCTTTTTAATTTTACCCACTTTTATAATTTCTGGGATAGAGATGCATAAATATTATATGGTTTGGCTCACTATCCGACATTAGTTCTCTCCCACCTGGATGTGCTTCTCTATTTTCCACCCATATGTGCAACATTGATCTATGATGGGCGAAGAGTATATCTAGTTCAGAAGTGGTGCGGTCCCCCATATCAGATCTTAGAATCTGACTGTATCCTCTTAGGGAGTGTCCTTCGGATGCTTTCGAAGGATACTTTCTTTCCCTTGCACTGGTCCCTTCACCTATTCAGTGTGAGATTCTAGCTAATTATGTGAGTGGAGGTAATGTACCATATCGGAAGTTATAATTTTCCTATACTGAAAATGTATTTCCGATAGATACTTACTTCCAAAACTCGAAGTGATAGTTAGAGGGAATCACATGCATCATGAGAGTATGTCACACTCTTATTGGTGGAGGGTTCACACATGATGATTTGCATGAGAGATGCATTGGAATCAGTTAATTCTAATGGAGGGGAGATAAAAGGCTTGTGGCATGTATAATTTTTTGCATATAGAGGGCAGCACTGAACAAGAAGAGCTATTTATGTGAGTGAAGGAAATACATTTTCAGTATAGGAAAATTATAACTTTTTGTATTGTTTCACTATACTTTTTTATATTTTTTACTTTTTTGAACCAGAATATAACAAAGTGGTTTGTTTATATTACTGTACAGCAGAAGTGGCCAATCCATGATACTCCTATCACTTATATTGCATATTACGGCACATAGTACAAACTTCTATGAAATTTCCATACGTACATGCAGTGTTATTAAAGTATGTGGTATATTTTAATTATTTTATTTTATGTGTAATGCATTTTGATTTGATTGTTTGAACCCCTACATTCCTATGAACTTTAGTTTGGAATGTTTCATTTGGTCAGTAACACCCTACTCAAAATTCAGAGCTTAAAGTTGGCACATCTGCTAGAAAGGTTAGCCACCCCTGTTATATAGTGTATTTGAATTTGCAGGCTGAAACCTGTAAAAACAAGTGAAATGTGTACTGTAAGTTGTCACATTTGTTTATGACTACACAATTTTTAAAGAAGAGGAAGTACTTTGTGCAAATTTGTAAGAAAACTATAGTAATACATCATTATAATAGTGCACATATGACTAGAGTTAAGAAAATATAAAAACCTAAACAGTTTCAACAGGCCTAGCTTGGTTTGTTTAAGCTACACTGTTATAACTTTCAAAATACATTTTTGTTTTGTTTTTATACTCAGACTTTTGCATATTTTAACCAGCTATGTTTCCAAATGCTTATCCTACTTATAATTTCATCAACATTTTTGAACTGTGTACAGAATACTTGTAAAAGTACAAGTTTTTTTTAAACTTTTATCATGTTCTTGGTTTGTTCTATCAGTTCTGTTTTTATATATATGTAGGTAGAATTCCAGTTTTTGTAATGAATCTATTAATTGTTTCATGTTATTGAATAGTTATTTGCCTTTCTGACCACACTTTACTGTATTTTCATTCATTTAACTGTAAAACAATTACTGACTTTTGTGATTTGATACTCCTAATGTTTAGCAGATTAGCTTGTACTGTTATGTGAGATTTTCACTTGGTGTCATGGTGAGTCATACCCTAGTGTTTGCTCTACTTTATCTTTTTCATGTTATCTCATAACCTGTTGGTTTCACATAGCAATATACATACTCCTCACTGGATACTGACTACTAGGTGTAATTATAATTTGTACGTTTTGTCTTTTCCATTCATTCTTGAGAACATAAAGGATTAATTTATGCCTTGAAGTAGAATATAATCCTGCAATATTTTGTGTACATGTACTGGATATAAGATCAGAGTGTGACCAGATTCAGAAAGGTTAGTGTTCACATTTCTGATGTCCTTTGTAGAAGGTAAATGTATCAGATCTAATTATCATAGAATTCAGAAAATATTTCTCCCTGTTGAATTTCTGATGTTAGTTGTACAAAATACCAGATAAAAATGTTATCAGGTTCAGAAAAATTTGTAATCTCCTTGTTGAATCAGCTTGATGAACTGTGATACTGTGTGGCTGTTGTTAATTTTATGTTAAAGCTTTTCCTTGTTATAGTTTTTTAAAATTAAAATTTTTTTTTCTCAGAATATTTATACTGTAAAAATGAGTTTGTCTTGAAATGAGGTCATTGACATTTATTTCATTTTACTCACTGTATTCTACATTTTGTTTTCATATGTTTTTGACAACTGAATGTTAAATGGAGCTTCTTATCACATTCCATCAAAAACTGTCAGCTATTTTTATAACTTCACATGCTATACACGGCTGTAGGATTAACAGCTATCTGTGAAACTTGCCAACACTTTTTATGGTGGTCCTGGAATTAATTACCTTTTCATTTAAGCTTTATCACATTGTGATGGAGTCAAATTCAAATTTTCTGAAAATGCTTCTATATAGGATGGAGCTACAAATTGTGTCATTCATTTTGGTATTCCACCACTTATTCCTCCATGGAAGTTCACAATGCTGTTGGAAAACCATTCTCTGGGTTAATACAGATCTTCAAAGTCTTCTGTGAAATTTAATTCATGTACTTCTTTGTGTATCTTCAGCAGTTAACCATAGACAAACTCTAGAGTAGTTCTTAATAAAAAAAAAGAAAGCACATTTTATTGTTGTAAGATGTTTTCACAACTAATGGTCTTAAAGGTAAATCAAAAAATTTTTTTTGACATGATGCAATTAAGCAAACCATTGATGGAAATGCATATCCTGCTTTGCACATGTACTTTTCTGTTTAACAGATTTTAAATATGTTTGTTTCTGGGCTACAACCTTTCCAATTCAACTTTATTTTAAACATTTTGTGAAGTACACTTAAAAATGTAATCTTCTATCTGATGAAGTGAAGAATTGGTATAAAGTATTGTAAACCAAATTCAGTGAAGCTGTTGTAAAAGAGGTTTCCAAGTTCTGTAGTAACAAAAGTTGGCATTGTACTGTTTAGTAAAAAACAGATATTCTTGGTAATGTTTGGTCTGTGTTACTGATTAGGCCAGATATTCACCTTATCAATACGGATAATTCCACAAATGTGGACCTTGATGATGTTCGTCTTCACCCCAACATTGAAAGAATCATTGCTGATGAACAGTGGGTTGATGATGCAACGTGAGTCACACATTTCTTTTGTAGAAAATTTGAATTGTGAATTTTGAAATAGAAAGATTTAACATGACAGTTTTAAGACAGCCTGTACATGATTGTATAGCTTGTGAAATCAGATGAATGTCCAATCTAGTCATGGTAATTTCATTAGTAGTTGAAGAAAATAACTTATTTCTTTGTGTTGAGTTCAATTTTTTTCATTATTTTGTAAATTGATAGTAACTGTATTAAAATTTAAACTTTTGGGCTAAACTGAAATGTCTGTTCTTTTTTCTCTCTCTCATTTATTAATAAAAGACACAATTTCTTATAATGGCCTGAAAAACTATATCAGAGAATTTTCAAGGTTTTCTTTATAAACTTCAGGATTCACTGACTCACTAACCAGCCTTTTGGTCATTCAGTATGAAAAGAGGCTTAACCTTCTGTGACTGTTCTCTGAAACTGAGAACAACTGTGAAAAGTACACTTGTAATAAGATTTAAATATTTAGCATATTAGGTATAAAAATGAAAATGTAAATTATTGTTCTGTCACATTTAAGAAAAAAATAGTTGCCAATGATACAATAAACATATAGACATATTTAAATTTCTCACGTTGTCAACTGATAGGATAACTGAGTTAGTGTTAACTGTAGCAGAAATTACTTCACATTAAGAAATTGACTGAAAGTAGTTTCAGGATATAAATGCCAAGAAATTAATCATTTCTTTAATTTTGTTGTATTTTATCAAATTTAAATTAATATTTCCTGTTGTGCTTACTGTAGCTGTTGCTAGTTTTTTATGCTCAAGCAAATGTCTGTCATTTTTTTGCATTTTTTATTTTATAAGCATTCATTACATTCAGTCTTTCATATTAAAGACTGTCATTCAACTATACTTGTGCAATGTAGATGTGCAGTGAGAAAGTACATACATTGTCTGTTTCTGTTTTACATCTGTTAACTTTGTTTTGTTTTTAGTGGAATTGTCCCACATTGTCTAGCCATTCTCAAAAAGTGCCACAATTTAACTGAAAGACTTGTTGCCATGACAATGAGCAGTGTGTCTCACCAATCACAAAAGAAGTTATGGGAGATTATTGAAGTTGCCAAAATGATCAGTCCCAGGGTTGATGATGTTGTGAGGTCAATGTATCCACCATTAGATGCCAGGCTATTAGAAGCCAGGTAGGGAATGACAACAGTGTAGTCTTCAGAAAAAAAGATATTATTTACATGAAAAGTTAACTTAAGAGTCTTTTCTTATACTTGTAAATAAAACAAAAAAACAGCCTATAGCATAGCGAGGCCCATCCTAAGATGTGGTACAGAGTCCACATGATCTGTAGAGCCATAAGAAAAAATTTCTTTAGCTTTGAAAGGAATTCATGCTTGTCTTGTTTCAAAAATTATTAAATTGTGTTAGCATTTATTTCTTAATCTACTAATGACAGAACTTTGCTATTTTCAGAATGGATTCTAAAGTCTCTCTGCTAATTTTAGTGATGTTATGTCATTTCTTTTTATAGCACAAAGTTACACAGAGTTCTTCAGGTTACTTTTTTTGTTGGAAAGATTTAGCAAACAATATATAAAACTTAGCAGGTTACTATTATAAAATAATCTAGCATGCATATATATATATATATATAAAACTTGGCAAGTTACTTCTGTAAAAAGATGTAGTGTGCCAATATAGAGATTTTGAGAGGTTGCTTCTGTAGAAAAGATCTAGCAAGCAAATAAACAGAAATGGACAGGTTATTTCTATTAAAAGATGTAACATGCAAATGTACAGAACTTGGCAGGTAACTTCTGTTGAAAAAAATGTAGCAGACAAATATACAGAACTTGGCAGGTTATTTCTATCGAAAAGAGGTAACATGCAAATATATAGAATTTTACAGTTTACTTATATAGAAAATATGTAGCAGACAAATATACAGAACTTGGCAGGTTATTACTATAGAAAATATGTAACATGCAAATATACAAAACTTAGTAGGTTACTTCTATAGAAAACATGTAACATGCAACTAACTTGGAAGGTTATTCTGTAGAAAAAGCCAACTCAAAGCCAAAATTACCTTGCCATACATCCATAAAATAGGTGAAAAGTTCAAAATGTTATGCCAAAGTTTGTCATAAAAGCTTATTTCAAATCTATAAGAACCTTCCAAAACTCCATAATGAAAGTGAAACAATTCATCAACAAGTTAAAACAAAAAGAACTAATCTACCAAATACTGTTTTCATACAGAAATATATACACTGGAGAAACAGATTGAAACCATAAAACAAAGACTAAAAGAACATAAGTGCAAAACTAGCGTAACATGTGTGGAAAAATCATTGTTGGCAGAACATAATTACCAAACAGGTCATATCATAAATTGGGTATAACAACAAACTATAAACATGGCTCATCATTGGAAAATCAGGAAAATTAAAGTATCTCTATATCAAAGCAAAGTATATCAACTTCTGCTCATCTGAGACCATGGCTTTGACATCAGCAACTTTTAAACAACCTCTCTCATCAAACTACCCAGAATGAATGACAGTTTCATACAATTCACTTCCAGGTACAGTACTCACATTGAGAAACAGGTATGCAGGAAGAAAATATATTACAGGACCTCACTAACCAACATAAAAATGCTACAAAGTTAAGAACTTTAGCATGAAGAATACCCCTGTATAGAAGTTAAAATGTCATTCCATTTCTAGAAGCATCTGCAGTTCATTGAAGCCAAAACTACTTTTGCAAGTTAGTTTCTTAACCACGTGAACCCTGGCACTCTCTTAAAGGTAGTATATACCCTTTACATAGTGTTATCTACATTTTGACCTTTTAATCAGAAAAATGTTTTCATACTGTGCTTTTTATAGGAAAATATATTGAAATAGGTACAAAGGCATGTTGTGTAACATTGCCACTGTGGCTAATTTGTTTATTGAAAAAATAAAGAAATACAAACAAAATGTCTTATATTCCTGATAACTTCTATAGACATGACTGAATGCTTCTGAAAATGGGTCCAGACTTTGATGGGATGTTAAGAATTAGTCTGAACTAAGGAAAACTCTGAAAATTAATTCAAGGTCAAATTATGTTACTAATAGTATGCCCTAAGTAGGACGTATAATACAGTGACTTGTTAATGGTTATTTAATAAAAACCAAACCTCTTATCAACTTTACCTTAGTACCACTATAGATACATTAATAATGCATATTTATGCCAATTGTGAAGTCTATAGCATCAATGGATCTGAAGCTATTAGTTAAAAACCATTATGAGAATGTCAATTTTCAGAATTTGAGAAGAATCTGTTTGCAAATTTGGTGCAAAATTGTCACTTTAAGGGGTGAAACTGTGAAACTTGCACCCTTAATATGTTAGTTGGTGTTAATAAAGCTCCTGGAGCATAAGTTTCACCTTATTGTCTTTCTTGGGCTCCTCAAATCTATTTTTGACAATTCTTCTTATCTGTCACTGTTTTACTCAATTCATGGAAGCTTTATTTTGTGCTTCAGATAACCTCTTCTTGTCTGCATCAGTAAAGCATTTTGTTGGTGAAACTTCTTTCGCTGATGTTAAGCAGCTCAAGTACCTTCTTCCTTGACTACATTCCATCATTGAAAGTACTGACAGCATCAGCAGCAGCCCATTTTATATGTTTTGCACTGAAAAAGGTGTCTTTTGGACAGTGATTCCATATAACATGGTTTAGGGACTCATTAACATTCTGATTGAGGCATTCTAAGAATTTTGTCAGGAGCTCATCACTAGATAACCTTTCATGGATAGTCTTGATGGCTTTCATTACATTCTCTGGCATTGAAGGTTTGTGTGAATATTCTGAACCAATGGCCTTAGCTTTTTGGATTTTACACCAAGGACCTTCACCAGTAGGGCACAAGTAATGCTGAGGCTTAATGTCGATTGATATTTTATGGTACCAAGTTGCCTAAATGGCATTCTACATTCCTTCCACATCACCTTTGTTTGAGCATATAGCTTTCCCATCCTAGTTCTGGAGACTATCAATAACCTTATCAGTGAATTTGCCAGCACCCCCTATTCCCTTGCCATTACTGAGCTTTTTACCTTCCATACCTTTTTTCAGATTGTTCCTAGCCTTTTCTTAACATATCCTACACACACTTTTTTTTATCTACAATTCTGTCACCATATGGTATTGACTCCTTCACTGTGTGGAAGAATTTAATGTTGCAAATGAGGATGTATTTTGTGTATTTGAGGCCTCTTTTCTTCTCAGATCTTTGAAATATCCTCACCATACCACCAGTTCCTTTGAAGGTGTGGAACTGTCATAGTTTGCTAAGCAAACTCTACAATGTTCCTCTTACTCCTTTGCTGTCCTGTTTTTGTTTGAAGAGCACGAATGGCAGTACCTACTCAGTGGATCATAGTCTATGACTTCCCCAGGTTCATTTGAAACAACAGTGACAACACCATGTAAGGAAGAGTAGCCCCATTTCTGCTGGTTACCATCACACATCAAAGATGTTTCAGTAACTTTCCCATCCTTTTGCAAATCTTCAGGAGCTTTTTTCATGCTTTCAGAGGCATTGAGAACAGATGTGAAATGCTTGTCCGAAGGCTTCTGTGTTTCTGGTGGGTTCATGCTCATAATACCACAAAACAATTCTCTGGCAGTTCTACCTTTCCCAATATATGACATAGCATACACAGATTACTTGTTAGTACCAATGAGTTATTTCCTAATTGTTTACTTGTATGCCAAACTTTCTCATTATGACAATTCATTCCTTTGGACACAAATTTTAGAGTAGCAGAAAGTCCACTTCTATTGGTAATTTCTAAGCTCAACTTTTCCTCACATGAGCAGTGTCAAAATTCACTCATTACTTCTGACAGAATGTCCATATTAAAAACATATTACCACTTTGGATACAATCTTTCTGTTATCTCTTTTTCTTTTTTTTTGGTAGTGTCCCTTCAGAAGCATACAAATGTCTAAACTTTCTCTTAGAAAGACTGCCCCATGGAAACTTGCTCAGTCACACAACTGGTACCTGCACTATGAGTACCAACAACTTGTGGCAATTCAAGTGTTTCACTTGTACTGTTACTAAGCTTACCACTCTTCACTTCACTCAATTGTTTGTTTGTAGTGAATCTGTTATAATGAAGCTTCTTTGATTTGTGAGGACCATGCTTTCATTCAATCCTCAAATATTCAGGATTTACCACAGTAATAAACACTTTTGGTGGCAAGTTATACTACAGGAATCAGAAAAAGCACTTTCTTTGTTTAACACATAGAATTTGAACTTTATGATTGACTCATCAATGGACGATTATTGACACAGTCCGTAACTTCCAAGGGAGTTTGAAAGGATGCAGCATCTTGATAATCAAAGGGAATTACAAAGAAATTGGCTGAAAAAATGTGATATTTTTTATATTTAAAGGGTATGTGTTAGCTTAAATTCCTTTCTGTGCATGTCACAAAGTGTTACTGAGCTACATTCAAAATTTAATTAAATCACTTTAATATTAATTTATTTTAATGAAACTATTACTATCAGGTACATTATAGTTCAAAATTTATGTTATCTGAGTTTTTATTCCTTTATTTCAAAAGAAACATTGAAAGCAATAATGAAATCTGTTTTGTGTCACATGAAGCACGAAAAGGTTGGTGAAGTATAGCTTAAAGCATAAGGGGGTAATCATGTACATGTAAGTCTAGATGAAAATGAAGTTTACTTAACCTTTTGACATATATGTTTTAAAGTCCTTTCACTGAATGCAGTTGAAACAAGAAACAAATTTTGTCAACCCCTGACAGGTGCCATGCCCATTTTCTATAGTTAATGTTGAATATTACAAGTTACGTGTACTTTCAACAGGTATGTGTTTATAGTCATTAGAAAGAGCTCATTTTACACTATAATCCAATAATGGTTATTTTGAATTGGCACCAAGTTGTCGTCATTGGGTACTGCAACTACTTGTACTATTGTTGGCTGCTTTGTTCATGATAGCACTTCAGTTGTTTCATACTTAAGTATGTTATTGTTAGTGTAACAGTTAAATTGTATTAAGGTTTTACTTTTATATTTTAGTGAAATGGTAAAGACTTGAAATGAACCAAAAAACATATTTTAAGACTATTCTATGAAGGTAAGTATATATTTACATTTCTTAATTTCATTGCATTGTACATTGATGATAATAGCTAGAGTTAGTGACATAGTAGAGAAAGTGTAAAATAAAATATAAACATTTACCTTAAAAAACTTTTGACATTCATTTAGGAGGTTCTAAAAATTATGCAAATGAAATGTGAATACTGTAAGATGATAATAGAGTATTTTTATGCTCAACATGAAAATTGCCTTGCAGTTGAACTATTCAGAATCTGAGTGCAAATAATTAGATTAATAAATTTTTATTAGAACTAGTAGAAAAAATAAAATGCTATATTTTTTGGAAACTTCATACTTTTAGGAAAGTTCTTGTCAAATTTCAAACAATTTCATCCACTAGTTTTATTTTGGAATGAAATATAATGATATCAACATTAGGTCCTTACAATATAAGGACCTGGTAGCAATTGGGTTAAAAGAGGTGTAGTATGCAAATCTGCAGAACCTAGAAGATTACTCTTCTGGAGAATGTTTAGCATGCAAACATACTGAATGTGGTAGGTTATTCAGCAGAAAAAACAGAATAAACTAAAATTATTTTACCATACATCTCTTAATTCAGTGAGAAACTAAAAAAATTATGACAATGATGTCAGCTACCCCTAGAAAACCTCATTTACTAAACTACACAGACTTAATTATGACATCACACAACACACTTCCAGATACACCTACTCGCACAAAACAATAAGTATACAGAAAGCAACTCTATCACAGGGCCTTGCTCCAAGAAAAAGACACTATGCATTTAACAGTTTTGACTTTGACCTGAAGAATGCTTCAATATAGAAGCTGAAATGTCATCCCACACTAAAAACTGGTAGGAGCAGACCACTAAAGTTAAAACGCTACCTTGGCAGGTTTACTTCTTTAGAAAAGGTGTGGCATGCTAGTATTCAGAACTTGACAAGTTACATCTGCTGTAGGAAAATATATAGCATGCAGGTTACTTCTGTAAATGAGATATAGCATGCAAATATTCAGAAGTTGGCAGATTACTTTGTTAAAAAAAATGTAGCATGCAAATATACAGAACTTGACAGGTTTCTTCTGTAGAAAAGAGGTAGCATGCCAGTATACAGAACTTGACAGATTACTTCTGATGTAGGAAAATATTTAGCATGGACATTACAGAATTTGCCAGATTACTTATTGTATTGTAAAATATATATCTTATAAACAAACAAAGTTCTAAGCAGTATGTTATATTTTCCTATTATCAACAGTTTTTCCAGTTGTCAATAAATTATCTGATAAAGTATAAATTTCCTTTGACATTTACTAATACTTTTATCCTGCTGTTTATAATATATTTTCAGAGGCTGTTTGGGATGTTTCTTCAGCAAACTTTTCTGGATTTCTTTTGTTTTCTTTAGTATGAACTGGAAACAATGAATATTAATGTTTTGCATAACATAGGTTACTGTTTTTTTTTTTCATGTGTATGTGACCATTAACTTAGCCATGATTTTCAGAAGAATTGCTTATTATGTGTATGATATCTTTTTTTAATACATTATTGTGTTATATAAACACTTGAGACATTATAGTGTCTTAACAATGGGATCATAGTACAGGTCAGAGCATTACAAGCTCAATTCACCTGAGAATGATATATTGACTTTTACACGTTAAATGCATTTATAATATGTACAGCAACTTATTGTTATAATCAAGTGTCTTATTGCCTTGTTCTATTAAAGTTTAAAGTATTATAATCCATTTGTAGGAGCAAGTATCCCTACTAAAAACAACTAATACGATATTTAAGAAAGTAAAGTGTAAGTTACCTATATCACAAAACCTTCAAAAATGTAAAAGCATTAGACTAGGAAGGTGACTAGGTCTTTTTATGTTTTTTGTTGTTTTTTTTCACAAAAAATAATAAACACATTTATTATTACATTTGTAGTTGTATCTTTGAAGTTTATAACTTTTGAAGTTTTGAAGTTTAAAGTTTATAATTTTTATAAAATTAAAAAAGTTCTTATACTACAAAACTTAATTTCCCTTAAAATGAATAAATAAAATAATTTTTCAACATGAACTCTTTTTTCATAAGTTTTGATAAAATAATGTATTTAAGATTATATCTAGTGAACAATTGTAAGAAATAAAAACTTTTAAAAAGTAGAAAGTTTGTATACGAACCACTAAATATTGCTTTAAAAATACATCTGAAATTAAAAATCATAATATGTGTTATAGTTAAATGTGTACTGACAAAGTAATACAGTTCATAAAAGTTTTTAATTAGTCATGTGAAATACCACATTATAGATGCAGTTCTTTGCTGCTCTCTGTATCCCACCTTGCTTTGATGATGAGATTTGCATGTCATATTTCAAAATCTCCACACTGGATTGATGAAGCTCTAGCAGACATGGAAGAGCACCTCCAAGTAAGCAAGTCTGTAATTTGCATATCAGTGTTTTATTGACTTCAAAAAATACCTATTAAGTATGTAATTCTACATCTACAGTATCTTATTGTCAATGGAAAGCATCTTCAAGTAACTTTACAATTTTCATATCAATGAAAGATTATCAATAAATTATTAGTTCTTTCTTTTATATATAATTGTTTCAAGTGGGTAACTCTGTAATTTTTATATTAGTACTTAGTTTTCATGGTAGGTTTTTTGTTGTTTTTTTTAGATAATTCTGCAATTTGGATGTAAATTTTTCATTGGTGTGAAATATCAATAAATTAGTAGCTCTATCATTTGTATCAGGGTTTCATAAACATGTAAAAGCTTCTTAATTTATTACCATGGAAGAACATCTCCAACTAACTATGGTTTTTATGTTAACCTTTTCTTGAACAGAGGGGTTTCACTGATAACCCCTTGCCTTTTTTCCCTTCTTGCAGTGGATTTATTTGTTTCTGGATATTAATAAAGGCTACCAGTGCTAGCCATCCTAATTGTGAACTGATAGGCTAGAAGAAGGTAGCTGGTCATAAAAAATTTATCACCATTTATGGGGCTACCCAAATAAAAAAAGTGGGATTTGACCATTAGTCACATAACGCCCCCACAGTCCCAAAGTGCAGAGCCATAATTTGTTACTGTTTTTGTTGCAGTGGGGTGTGAATCATCGACCATCAGATCCACAGTCTGATATGCTAACCACTTAAAAAATAAATATTTAACTAAATTGCATAAAAATTAGTACAAACATACTAAATGGTGTCTAGGTTCTGCTTTAAAAAATTAATATAATTTGATTTACTATTTCTATCATATTTTACATGGTTCACAGACTCGGGAAAACTCCTGGAATTTCTTGTATTTGGGTGTTATATGATAAAGTCCTGGAACTTAAAAGAAAAAAAAAACTTGATTTTTGCCTGGTAAATCTACACCAAGGAAAGGTTTTGGAGTACTTCCTGACCTCTCATTAGACCCTCCTTGTGATATATTGACTAAATTTTTTTTCCAATATTAGATGAAGTATTTCAAATGTTGGGCATCTGAAGATTAGCAGATACTATTCAAGTTTGGTAAAGATATTTGAAGTAAAATGATGAAATGACTTCAGTCAGTATTTCATTTTGTATTTCTAACAATGTATTATTATTATAATAGTTTTGAAATATAGTTTCACCTTTTTTTCTCATAATCAAAAATCCTGTTCTTCAAAGGGTTATTTTAAAAAACATTTTTAACACCTTGGGGGTTGTTTAGTTAATTTCAATTTGTTTGTTTTTTCATGTACAATTTACATTTAAGTGCAATTTATCACAAACGTATTTTAATTTAGTTCAGTTTAATTGTTTTTATTATGTAGTAGTAATTATATTGATCTTTAATTAAAACCTGTTTTTGTGGATTACAATTGTTATTGATTAAGTTTTGTATAACATTTTCCTTGTTTGTAGTTAATGCACCAAACAAGAAAATGTTAGGGTTTATGGATATTGTAAAATCTCAGCAAGAAACTTGTTGAAAGGAAATATAACTTATCAATACAGAATTAAAGAACCAAAGTTGAGAGTAATAGGAAGCACTTCCTTCCAGGTCCTAAGAGATGCAGGATATGCGGACGACACTGAAGCTCAACTAATGAATGGTAACATCCACACTGGTCAGTCTGGAAACACCAATATTGCGTGTTCAGAAGAAGCATCAATTTCACTACAGAGTCATCTTCCAAAACCTTCCACTACAGAACCAGTTTAAATATTTAACATTACCAAGAAAACTGTCATGTTTGGTTTTCATGTCTCTCTTTTGATCAGGAAGCTGCTTCTGTAGTGCTTAGTTAAGCTAGGGAAACTGAATAAGATTATAAAACTTTGTTTCTTAAAATGTAATACAGATGGATTATTTTTTTATTCTTCCACTACAGTTGAACTCAATTTGAAACCTCATTATTCTTAAGACTAAGCTCCTCAGTATATACATCCAAAGAGGCATTGTTATTGTTGAAACCAAAAACTAGTTAATAAACTCCTCAAACCTGTTAGAAAGAAAGTAATTTGAGCATTGTCATATATGTATCAGTATAAAATTTGTTGTTCCACTGCTCATTAATTGTGACCCTAGTAGTTTTCCTGGTTATTGATTTAATGTGAATAGTTGTAAAATATACAGAAAAGTTGATTGGGTTACATAGGAGCTAAAGATTATTCTGTGGTACTACACTGAAATTTCAAAGACATAAAGGTTTTATGGTAGTTTACCTATGAATTATGTCATTGGAAAGTGAACCAAAAAAGTATACTGAGAATTATAATTGGTCAGAGTGCTATTGTCATAAGGCCTTAAGTGTGGCATGTTAGCAGGTTCTTTAAACATTCAGCAGTGGTGGCTAGTAAGTGGTGTAGCCTATATTACATCCTAGAAATTATAGTTTTTATATGAATCTAGATGCACTGTTCAGTCACCCCTTTTTTCTCTCTGTCTCTAAAACACACAATGTTTTTAAATATTGCCCCCCACAAATTCCTACTCCACCAATATCCATTGATAATGATATTCTATCATATTCATGTAGTTCAGGCATTTGCATGAAACAGCTAAACATCTAGCTGAAAACATTATATCACAATTGAGTTTTTATTTTTATAATATCATAATTTTTCATTTATGTAAGAGTTTACAAATGCTTATTCAGATTACATTACCACTGACTACATTGTTAATTGTGTGATTCCTTCATTCAAACAGTGACCGTTATGGTGACTGATATTTTATTAGTAGTCTTGGTTTTATTTGTGAAAGGTTAAATTATCTTATTACACTTTTGTTCTTTTTACATACGTACTGGTAACTTTTAGACTGTTTGTTTTAAATCATGAATATGTTAAACTAGTTTTTAATATTTATCATTCTTCAAAATATTTCAGATAAGTGTTACAATTATGTTATAAAAAGTATGGTATACAGCTTTAGCATCTGACAGAGGTCATTCTTACATTGAAGAAAGAATGTAATGTTAGCTTTATAATCTGTCAGAGATCAGAGCTACAGATAAACCAGAAGACTTGTACAGTTCCAACAAATATCAAATGTCATTATCACACTACAGAGAAAGTATGATGTATAGCTTGGACAACTGAAAATTCACATTATACTACAGAAAAATTATTATATGTAGCTACTGTTAGAGGTCACTAGCATATTACAGAAGAAAATTGTGATATACAGTTCCAACAATTGCTTTGGTCAGTTTCACAATTACTGTACAGAGGATATTAAGCAGTGTCTGCCCAACACATAGATTGATATAAAGCTTAAAAACATGCAACTCAGTATCACACCACAAAGCAAGTATACAGCTCAAGAAACTAGAAATCATTATTACAGTATAGGGAAAGTATGAAACAATTATATGTTCTTTATTAAACAATATGCTTATTTGTGAAATTCTGTATATCTGATATGTAGACTTCTTACAAAATGTAACTATGCTTGTGATACGCATGTCCTGGCAACATGGCAAATACATTACTTAAGAAAGCAGCATCTATAACTCATCTGTAGAGAGGTCTCTCGTCATTAAGTTTTAGTAGAATTTATTATACATTTCTCTATACCTAGTGCTTGAAGTAGGGAAAAGAGGAAGCGGAATGGTATGTGAAAGTTTTGAAGCTGAGCACTATATTTCATGTTTTTCATGTATATTTATTTATTTATTATTATAAAATAACAAAAATGTAAAAATTAGAAACTTGTTAGGTTAGATCAGGTAAGATAATGAATAATAATAATATTAATCTCATATGTTAAGTAATTTGATATGGTAACTTGAGCTGCACGTTTGTCGAGTGATTTACAACTTGGGAGGAGGGATTATTCCTTAAACATGGTTCAAAGGGTAATAACATAAAGTATAAAGAGGTGTATACCATTATTAGTTAGTATGGAAATATGAAAACTTTGTGGTTACAAACTCAATCATACTGACGGAGCCCATAGTGACAGGTTTCATTCACTTCATCCATGTTCGTTCTTGCTTTGCTCTTAAACATCATTTTAAGAGAAGAAAAAAGTTTCTCCAGTCCAATGCCATTGTAAATATTTATTGTATAATCTATTGAACCTTTCTCTTCTGAGAAGCTTAGTCTGCTAAAAGCTAGCGGGATAGATTTGGGCTCTCCGGATGGCATCCCACCCCACTTCAAGCACTGTGTATACCATAAAATGAAGGTTTTCATTAGTAGGCACTGTATCATCATGTAAAAAAAGGTAAAGTATGTAAGATGACAACAGAAAAACTTTTGTGACATTCACATTCCAAGAGACAGGACAATGTCAGAAAATACTGCAATCCTCATTCAGCTAATGGTGGAAACTCATACACTTTTCATTTGCTATATTATTCATCTTAAACATTCATGAGGTCTCAATCTCTTTTTATAAACTAGTTTCATAAATAAGATTTCATCTCTTAGTTTTTGCCTGTCGATTTTTAGCATCATTGGTGGACTGTGGTATTCATTTCAAGTTTATTTATATATATAAAGTAAAATATATTTTATTATTATTATTACTTGTGTATTTAAAGATTTCTGTGCATCTTTTTGGGGACTTCAGTATACATCTTTAGCTGATATCCCTCGTATAAGACAATGTAAGAGGATGTATGTGGAAAGGGTGTTATTATTCTAATCTATCTTCTGTTGCAAAATGATGTTACTTAATTGTTTCAAAAAAAAATTATTTTAATAATTTGAATATACTTGACATTTTCTCTATTGTAAGCCAGGGAAGAAATATATTTTTCAATAAATATAAATAATTTGTTTTATGTTTGTCAGTGTTTTATATTGAAACTTGTTTGACTTTTAAAGAAAAATTATCATATTTTTAATTGGTCGTGTTATGATTAATACCTTTTGCCAAAAGATATGACTCTGAGGAAAATATTTTTTCATTTAGGCATAATGATGCTTTGTCTCAACATGCTTTCATGTCATTTCATACATCTATCTAGGTTCACTGACTATTACAGAGATAACATCAAATGCTGGGAAATAGGAAGTTTGTTAAAGTCCTGAAGTTGTTCAAGTACTTCATGAGACCTACACCAGAGCCTTTGAAAAATTCATTAACATGCTGTATATGGATCACAAGCATCATCTTGTGGAAAATTATTTCTTGTAAATGGCATGCTTCAGTAAGATTGAACACAGAATATTCTCTAGAACCACTGTGTAAGTTACCAAAGCACAATAACAGCAGAGTTAAATTACATAAGACCTAACCAAGAAAGATTGGACACTAAATGTTCAACCAACAAAAGATGAAGGGTCAGTGCCTATTGGTACAACTCTTCTGATTGTTATCTAGTTTTGACTCACTAGCATTACGTGGTTTTACCAAAAACCTGTGATTCACCTGTCCCACATGTTGTGCTAACCAACAACTTCTGCAGTAGGTCCATCTCTAAGGTACCAATGCTTGGATATAGAACAGAAAAAGCAACTTCCATCCAGCAGCACAAATAAAAAGACCAATTCACTTATTCATGCTTCTCTGCTCACTGAGCTTATTTACATTAACCAGAATGAAGTTGGTATTATTTTTTAAAAGCAGTAGGTTCATTCTGGTCGCCTGTTGAAGTTCAAGTAATATTTTGCAACACCAATGTCTATCCATAAACTCAACCTCAAGTCTGTATGTCCTTAGGAGCATATGTCAAGCTGTACCCGGTCCTGAGAGCACTGAGATGACCACCTAATCTTCAGACGTATGACCAAATTCAACTTGGGCTGTGATAATTTAATTGAGCTGCAATGACAACAGCCACAGCTTGTCATCAGAATTCCTGCATTTCATCAACTTCTGTTTCTAATATTTTACAACAGGTATGAACAAATCCTGTTCTAATGATGATATTTTCTGCAGTTGAAAAAGGCACCCTATTCTTGCTCAGGCTTTTAGTCTGTAGGTGTTCTGCTGCATCATCAGTGTAATAATGGTAAAAGAGTTTGGATATCCCTGATTATTCACTAGAAACCAGTGTGGCTGCACCATAACACCTGGTGATGTTTGCTGAATTGGAGTTTGGGTTCCTGAAGAGGCTTTACTGTAACTGCTGCTGTAATTAGCTTACACTTTTCTGACACCTTCTTTGATATAACCATTTCAAATTGCATTTCCATGGAAACTACTTCTTTTAAAGGCAAAATGTTCCTAATACCCTTGTGCATGAGCTTGCTAAGGCAGACTGCGAATGTACCAATGAGGATTTTCTTATAATTTTCAGTTACCATTATGCAGACAAAGACAAATAATCCATAAATGTGACCAAGTTCTCATGAGAACTCTACTTTGAGCTTTGCACTTTACTAAGTAGATTACTTTTACTGGGTTAATCCTTCATTGTAGTTTAATTATAACTGTATCCCAGTTAATAAATTGCTCTTCTGCTGAATGCTCTGCAGCATCAAATGCTTTCAAACTGTGCATCAGACATTCAATTGCCTGAGTGTATGTATCCCATGCAATTAACTGTTTGAATTACTCTAAGAAGTTATCAAAATATTTTTACTAGTAACTTTGAAGTTCAGTGAACTCAGCTGTTTCATATCACTAATGTTGGCTTTCAGCATTGAAAACAGACTTGCTGTTAGTGGCTGAGGTACTAATGTAACTAAAGACATTGACTCTCAATGCCTGTTGTCCCTAGCAATCGTACAAACATTCATCTTCTTAACAGGCTTGGTAGAGAGACATATTACTAAAATATGTATATATATAATGATATAGCTCTGTATGTGTGCAGGTTTCCAGATGACTCATGTTGGCTTTGATACACTTTATTCTCATAGAAAGCTTTAAAGCTGAGCTAGTGGTTTTCACTAACTGGGTCACCTGCCTCCCCATTTGGTGATTAAAGAGCTCCCAGAGGAACATTATCCTTCAATGGCATTTTTTGTATGAATGTAATAGATAAATGCGAGCAAATCTGAATAACTTCAATGTAAAAAAATAAAAGAAAATTTCTTTAACAAAAACAAAGCAGACCTCTAAACATTTGGATGCTACAAACGTTGGCATGTTCCTAAAAGTCATGGCTTTGCTTGTCATCATTTTATGAAATTCCAAGCTCTACTGTATTTGCAAAAGTGCCAAATCACCAACACCATTAGGTGAGTCCTATTAACAAAAACGAAAGTGAATACAGAGCTCCTGACTTCTCTACCTTCACCAGGGTTCATGTAGAGCAATAAAATGTCTTAAAATGGTTTTGCATTTTTAAGGCCTTGAAAAGTCTTAAATGTATTGCTCAATGTTGTAAAAAATTGTCAGTCATAGGCCAAAATGAAATATTCATGTTCTCAGTAGACATGCAAATTACAGATACAAGAGTAACAAAACATGTCATGTTAGTAGATGACTAACACTCGTTGTTGTTAAACACATGGGTATTCATTGTAAATGCATTAAAAGTTGAATAAATAATTTATAGAGGGTATTTGATTTATTCTTAATATTAATGCTTTCATTATATTTGTTTGTTTGGTCTGTAAATTTTTAAGGATTGGTCTTAAAGGGTTTTTAACTTGATCAGTTGATAAATATGTGATAGCTATGTCTGTGGCCAAGTCTATGGCCCATGTGTTACAATTTTTATGGGTAGAATTAGCACAGTATAAGGTTGATTGCATCCTGTTCATGTAGAACTAGTAACTAAATACAGAAACCTGTATAATTTTTTTGTAAAATTGTATTTGTAAAATATATTCACATAGTCTTTTATAGAAAGGTGGGATATTCTCAGATTAACTGATTTCCTTAGAGTATTACGCAAGTCTCCTTTATAATGTGGAATTCATGCAGAATGATTAAAGAGTAAATCTGAAGTTAAACAACCGAGTTTAAGCTAAGAGAATAAACAGACAGGACATGATATGTGTATTTGCATCAGGACACTGAACTGTTGCCTTTAACCAGATTATTGAAATAGCAGTTGTAATCTCCCAAGATATGTTTCCATTAACCAGCCCATAATGCCTACTGCTACCCATGTAACTTGCCATTATTATACAATATTGTGAAAACTGTAACCTCTATATATCAT